TAGGAAAGGAGAGAGAAAATATAAAAAAGAAATGGTTGTCGGCAACACACTTTCCATCTGCTGCTAACACGCATCACAATAGCAGAAAGTGAACGGGACAACGCTTCTAACAATATGGTGAAAGGACAATTTTGGCAACCGGTGCCAATACACGCACTACCCATACACTTTCTTGTGGACAACACAGGCTTTTACAACTTTTTGGATTTAAAAATTAACGAATCAGTGTGGAAGATTAATATGCCTTCAAAGAATATAGAATTAGAATTAACGAAGACACCTTTGTGAAAAAATAAAGATGTTCTTCGACCAAGAACTTTTTTTTTTTATTCAAAGTGAAAAAAAAAATTTTAACTGTTTTTTAAAATGAAAAAATATAAATACTCTTGATTAACATATCTAGATTTTCTTGACTTGAAGGGAAAATTAATCATTTTACTATTCCAAAAAGGTGAAAAGATGCATATACCACTCAACAATCCTAAACTTTAGGTAGTATTTAGTTATTGTCATAAGACAAAAGAGATGGGGACAATAAAGACAAAAAATATATTTGAATTAAAGTATTTATTATCATAATTTGAAAACTCAATTTAAGAGTTAATTCAAGGCAAAGTTTAGGTCAATGATGGGGGACCTTGCTAACCTAATTTAAAAAAAAATAAAGCAACCTTGAATAAAATTTTGTTTTAAAAAGGTCAACAAGTTTTTTACTCTGTTTTATTCCTAGCTGACCTAAGTTTTAACTAGATTAGGGAGGATCAATCCTTTCTCTATATTTTTTAACTCAACCTGTTAAATCCTAGATGAACACGTCAAGTCAATCATGATTTTATAACTAAGATTATTATAATATTATTAATCTCAACACTTAATATAAACTAAAATAAAAAAATATATCTAATAATTTTTTTAAATATGTAAATTTGATAATAATACATATTAAGAGTAAAATAATTTTTTTATATATTTTATTCACCATAACCAAATAAAATATGAAGACAATAACTTTATCTTGTAAATTACTATCAAACATTTTTTTTTTGTTATTTTTTTTTGAAAGAAAGTATTAACTAATTTGCTATTGAAAAAGATCACAAGGCTTTTTTTTTTTTTACAAGAGAAAAAATCGTAAGTTTACCGTTGAAGTGAATAATAATACATGTGTGCAGTGATTTCTACTAGCAGTTTAGAGTTTTTGTTAATGCTGTCATGATTATTTATTGCTAAACTCTGGTGTTTATGTAATTATAAAACTATGGGGCACAAACATCACCTTTTTTTTTCCTTTTTTTTTTTATGGAATCCCTTCTTTTGTTACCAAGAAAATGGTTCTTCCATGTTTTTGTAGCATAGACCAAAAGCTTTGGCCCTAAGAACCACTCTGGGGTGGGTCTCCCTCCAATTCCTTGCCTGAACAATGATTGCATAAAACAACAAAATTCCAACTTCTCAAAAATTGAACTCCAAATTGAAGAACAAAAGCTACAAGTTAAAACAAATTTATTTTTTTCAGAGAGTTTTCATGATGTCTTGACAATTAAAAAAACAATTGCAAGATTAGGTTAACATCTAACAATAAGAGATGTTCATGTCTAGTGGGAGGCATACAGCCCTAATCATACTAGCGGGCTAGTGGTGTCTTGCATTAATCTGTACGGTAGGAATGTGTCCATTATTTGAAGTTGAGTTAAACCCACCTCGCAAACCCCATTATGTTTTTCCATCTGAAGGTTGTTGGACCGGTGACCTGCTACCCATGAATCAGGCTCTGCCTTGCATCCTAGGAAACACCCTCCTAGAAATCTTGTTCAAGCAAGATTTGCCAGAAACCACCACCTGCTCAAGTCATCTTTTGCAAGTGGGGTCTTCTCAATCTCTCTATGCAAGGAAAAAAAACAAAAAACAAAAAACACGCACAGGTACAATGGGATGTGGGGTGGTTAGAAGGTGCATTAGCTAACCAAATGCCCTATTTTTCCAAATTACCAAACCAATCATTTTCACCTTCTCTTTGTCAGTCCAGCATTCTTATAGTCTAGGCATCTTAGAGCTCATGATAGTGTTCTAGGTCCATGCTTGAAGAATGAAGACAAACCGGTCTTCAGTAGTGCTTCGTGAGAGGACCCATGTCTTAGTGGACAGACATGGGCTTGTCCCATCATTGAAAAAGTGAGAATATATACTGTCATCATGCAAATTTGATCTTAAAAGCTCTAATTTGCTGGCTTCTCTTTTATTAACAAAGGTTGCCTTATTAATGTATCCTTTTCCCCTTTCGATTAACTGCCTCCACCTCTCTTCCTCCCTCGAGTACCCCCCTCCATAAATACATTCAACTAGGCATTTGCAACTCTACCATGAAACTTCAACTGAACTCGTCATTACTTTCTACATCCAGTCATTTTTGAATCTCGGAGACTGATGGGCCTCCCTCAATCCCCAACCCCTTCTCATCTTTATCCTCAAGAGCTTCAACTTAAACTCTATCAGGCTTTCATATTCTCAATTCCTATCCTCTTCTCCATTATTCTTTTTCTGTTGTTTTACTTGTTCTACATCAAAAGAAGGACTCCATCGCTTTCATCTCCTCCACGTATAATTCAAAGGAGTTCCAATCAAGCTACTCCATATCATGTCTCCTCTGTGAGCCCCCCTCTCCATCTCTCTCTCTCTCTCTCTCTCTCTCTCTCTCTCTCTCTCTCTCTCTCTCTCTCTCTCTCTCTCTCTCTCTCTCTCTCTCTCTCTCTCTCTCTCTCTCTCTCTCTCTCTCTCTCTCTCTCTCTCTCTCTCTCTCTCTCTCTCTCTCTCTCTCTCTCTCTCTCTCTCTCTCTCTCTCATGTACCACATGCATGCAGCAAGGAAAAAAAGGAAAGGCAGGAAAACTGAAGCATTTCTTTGTTTCTTTGTTGTGCTTATGAAATTTAGCTGTATACTATAGTGATGGTTTGCTATTCAGCACTACAGCTATCATCTTAAGATTTTTCTAATCCTTTTTCTTGTTTCAATGATTATATTTATAGAGTTATCAGAAGGAAGAGATTGCAAACAAGCTTCAAATAGTCTTGTTTGATGAAGAATTAAGGACAAAGGACTCTCAGTAAGATGTCACTTTACTCAATTTCCATTTAAGATAATTACTTAATTCATATGACGTGAGCTAGTATTTATCCTGCCCTACAACATGTACTCGATTTAGGGTTATATTGCAGTAATGATCATATGCTGACGAGGGCAATTCACTGAAAAACTGGAAGATTTATATTCACCTTCAACAAAGTTTCTCTAATTTGTAAACATGGGAAAAGGGCCTAGATAAGTTCTCACTATTCACATCCCCCTTAAAGTCATGCTCAATTATCTAGTTAAGAAGCAATCCCTATGAACCATCCTTTACAGGTTAGCGAGGCAGAAGAGCTTTCACTTTTATATCGGATGCCAATCAGAATCTCTAATAACATCCACCATTTTCTCTGAAGGCTCTTCTTGATAAGAATCTGTTGAAGAACTACAATCTCTATAACAATTGACACGCATGGAGGTAGCAAAGCATGTATGAAATAAAGTTGGAAACAGTATTCCTTCTGGCTTTAGAGATTCTTTAGGAAAATCTAGTCACTTAACCTATTGAAAAAGACATGAAATGTTAAGCATGTAAAAGATTTTTCAGTTCTGAGAAGCCTAAAGACCTTTATTTGGTTTCTTTTTTTGCTCATAGGTCCAACAGCAGCCCTATCTTTCTATTTCTTTTTGGGTCCCCAGCTTGCATTATTTCCAATTGCACAAATGTATCCACTTTTACCAGAGTCTAAAAGACCCATTAGATATTCTTGTTAGCTAAGGATTGATTAGCAAAGATTTAGACCCTCCAAGAGGTCCTAACAAAGCAAAATGCCAAGGGCATCAAGTTCTAAAGTCTAACAAAATTATCAGAATTTCTATCGATGCTTCATGTCTATACTTTGTAAGATGAGACAACTGAAACTGTAAACTTTTTCTCCCATTTCAAACGCGACGAAGAATTTCTAATTACATCCACTACTTTCTGAAAGCAAATTGGCTGTAAGCTTGTACAAAGAGTTTTTGATGCTAACAGAAATCAGGGAAATTGATGATAAGGAAATCTATCTAGAAATTTAAAAAGAAAAGGTGAATTAAGGCTTCAATTCAACTGAACCTAATTGAAACTTTTTGGTTGCAGATGCTGTGTTTGCTTGGGCGAATTCTTGATCAAAGAGGAATTGCTTCAAATCCCATCATGCAAACATGTGTTTCACATGGACTGCATAAATCATTGGCTGCACTCAAACTCAACCTGTCCACTTTGCAGATGTTATGTCATATTCCCCACCACCAAATTTTGTACCAATCCGCCACAATCTAGTGGACCTGTGCTCCTGCTGCAATCTAGTGTTGGTGCAAACTCTCACCAGCCTCAGAATATAACATCTGAACTGCAGCAACAACAAGATGTTGGTGCTGGATCGACAGAACAGCTTGTGATACCTATAGAAGAATCATCAAGTGTGGCATCACAATTGAGGGACTCTTCTAGGTTACCTGAGCTATCCATTTCCATGGAGAATGGAAGGGGTTCTCCAAATGGAGAATCTGTTATTCTTCATATCCGAAGACATAGTACATGAAGAAAATTCTTGCCTCTATACGAAGTTGAAATAAATAGATAGGCAAATGTTCTGATCAAGGCAGAACAGTACCAAATGGCATGCGCATGCTTTCAGTTGGCTGCGTAATTCTGTTTTGAGAATTTCTTGAAAGGGGTTAGATATCAAAAGGCCGGTCACTAGTAATAGTGTTGGTGAAGTCACAGATAAGGCCAGCCTTGTACAGAGATCCGAGATCCGGATTGAGCTCATTTCATGTATTAAACGCAGAAATTACACGAGAAGCATGCGAAAAGACTAACTTTTTTGCCCTTAAATATAGTGAAATTGATGAACTTTTTTTCCCGTAAATATAGTGAAATTCTGTGGCGGCATCTTCATCTTCTTTTATTAAAATCATCTATTTATAGCCAACTTAAGGTGAGCAAGTGCCTTTATCAAAACTATAAATGAAATTTTTTAGAATATATATATATGTTTGACATGTTGATCCTTGAATAATCTTTATTTACTTGAAGTTTTTTATTAAACAAGAATAATCTTCATTTTATAAAATATAATTGATAATATATTGTATTTATTCTTTGAGTTTTATTGTTAAATAGAATCTTGAGCCAATACCCAAGCGAACCTTTAGTTTAAGCTAACTATGCTAGAGGACCACATCAAACTTGCAATTTTCTTCCTAGAAAATGATAGAAGCTGCTACACAAAAGGAACGCCAGAATTGTTGAAATAATAGTTGTTTTGGCAGGAAACTTTCCTTTATCATTCCTCAATATCATGGCTTCATAGGCTGGCGAGCAATCCAGCAATCAAAATTTGGACTGATATATAGTACCCCCAAATTGCTGCCCTTGAAAATCTAAACCAGACCTCTGATAAATGAGACTAAAAGTTGATTAAGGCAGCCACTGTTAGGGGTACAAACATGGGTGAGTGCGTTCAAAACTCTAAGTTCCCTTGGTCATATCCTTTACTTTGTTCATCATCAACTACTTTGTTCGTCACAGTAAAACCACCATTGGAAATTCCCAAGGGCCCGAGAAGGAAATCAATGAATCCATGAGAGGCAGTGGGGGAAGAGAGACATAGACTGTGATTGAAAATTAGTTTATATTTTTTTTATTTGTTTATATACCTTTCACTTTATTTTATTAAACAAAATTATTATTTTTATAATTTTTATAATATTTGTGAATTTTTTAATTAAAAATTAACTTTAAATCCTATCTTCAATACTTAATCAGTGTGTGCTAAAGCTAAACCAAAGGAACATGTGGTCCGCAAGAGTTTTGGTCATGGGGTAGCACAGATATATACAAGGACATTAATTTAGGGTACAGGCTCTCAAGTAGTGTTTAGAAGTGCTCTTGCTTTCGGCTCTAGAGTTATAAATCAAGCTGGATATAAAAACAATTTTCTCTTGTGTTTTAAAAATATTTTAAAAATATTTATTTTTTTTATTTATTTTAAATTAACATTTTTTTGATGATTTTAGATTATTTTGATATATTATATAAAAATAATTTTTAAAAAATAAAAAATATTAATTTAATACATTTCAAAATAAAAAATAATTTAAGAAATAACAACATTACATTATAAAAATAGGATAGAAATATCCGGTGCTGGCATCTGGTCCCAGCCTTCACAGCTATAACAAGAAAAATATATTGAGAGAGCTGGTAGGTCTTGTACATAAAAAAGAATCCTATAGAACGCAGGATAGACAAGTGTAAGTTTTCCGAATTCGGCTTCTCTCAAGCACTATCATCTTCAAACAGAGGGTAGAGGTGTTATTGGATTATTAATTTATTATTATTATTATTATTAAAATCTTTTCTTTTCCATCAAAATTATTTCTTCTTCAATGTAAGAAATAAGACCGACCACATAAATATGAAATCTGGATTCTTATTTTCTCTCTATTATATATTTATATTAACAACATAAAATTAGTTTATCACGTGATTTTTAGCAAATATATAGTATAGGGTCACCTCTTGTTCGCACTGATTTCATCACCTATCCTGTGGTGGCTCATATGATTTTTCCGTTCGATGAATGCAATGCTTGAAGATGTACAAATTGGTCTTACAGTCAGAATCAGAAGAACATAAAAGCAAAAACTAGCAGCAAGGTAATTGGATTTTACTTTTTTCTGCAAAAATCACCTGATTTGAATATTTTCATTTAGGATTATTTATTTATTTTAAATAAATTCAGAAAGTAATTAATGGAATATCATCGAATTATTCTATTAGCACCTTATAAATTTTCGTAGTCAAAGAAGGAAAGCACGCAGAAAAAAAGAAAAAAGAAAATAATAAACTGGAAGGTGAAGATTCAACTAACATGTCATATAATTCTAGGAAACAAGTAGGGCCGCTGAATTCACTTGACATGAATCCGGTGATAGGAATGGAAAGGAAAGGAAAGGAGAATCTGCATCGACTCGCATTTA